AATTATAGTCCCCCACCGAACATATTGGAACAGCAAGACAAATTCCTTTGTTTTTATTGCACACTGAAGTCACTTGGGTTTACGATCAAAAGATGAGTATGAGACAAGAGTTCAGAATTTCAGCTTTTATTTCCTGGCATTTATGTTTAGCCTTTCTGGGTGGAATTTGCATGTTCTCTCCGTGCATGCGTGGGTTTTCTCCGGGTACTCCGGTTTCCTCCCACAGACCAAAAACATGCATGTTAGACTGACTGGTAACTCTAAATTGTCCCTAGGTATAAGTGAGAGAGTGAATGGTTGTCCAGTTTGTCTCTCCGTGTCCCTGTGATGGACTTGTGACTTGTCCAGGGTGTCTCTCACACAGTGACTGATGGATATGGGCACCAGTGACTCCCCCGTGACCTGAAAAGGAAGAAGCGGGTAAAGACGATGGATGGATCAAGCCCTTTGTTTTGTTGGTGGTGTGCTTTGGGTCATTGTCCTGCTGCATGATAAACCTCCCAATTGGTTTGGATGCATTTCTCCTTAAACTGGCAGGCAAAATGTTTCTTTACACTTGGGAATTCTGCTGCTACCATCATTAGTTACATCCCCAGATATTAATGAGCCTGTTCCAGAAGCAGCCATGCATGTCCAAGCTAAGACAGTACCACCACCATGCTTCACAGATGAGCTTGTAGTTCCTATCTTCCTCCACACTTTGATCTTTCCATCACTTTGGTGGACAAATCTTGGTCTCGTCGGCACACAAGATTGTGTTCCAGAACTTTTGAAGCTCATCTCTGTACTTCTTTATAAATTCCAATCTGGCCTTCTTATTCTGACAGTGGTTTTCATCTTGTGGTATGGCCTCTATATTTCTGCTCTCGGAGTTTTCTTCGAACAGTGGATTGTGATACCTTCACCCCCGCACTGTGGAGGTCGTTGGTGATGTAAGTTACTGATGTTTTGGGGGTTTTCTCCACAGCTCTCACAATATTTCTGTCATCAACTACTGGTGTTTTCCTTGGGCGACCTGTTCGACATCCATTGCTCAGCACAGCAGTAGTTTCTTTTTCAAGACATTCCAAAGTGTTGTGCTTGCTGTGTCCAATGGCTCTGATCGATTTTCCTTCTTTTCTCTGATTCAGAAAGCCTTGATTTTCTCCCATAGCCAGCTTCATGGTCTTCATGTTGATTTATATAAATAAAAGGAAATAAAAGTTTAAACTCTGAACTCTTGTCTCGTACTCATCTTTTGGTCTTAAACCCAAATGTCCAGTGAACAACGTAAACACAGGAATTTGCCTTGCTGTTCCAATACTTTTGGAGTGGACTGTATATACAAGACGGGATCAAATTCACATTAGTTAGACTTTCTCCCCTTCTCAGCATACTGTGATTAACAGCTCCACTTTTGTCTATACAGCCAGGCAGCAGTATACACGCAGCAAAAATGTATCACTGCTTTGTTTCCTAAACACAAAGAGGGATCTTCGCTTCTCGCATGGCAAATATTGCCCTTGACTACAACCAGCAGCAAGAAAACTTTAATTTATTGAGAAATAAATGAACAAAAGGAGGACTAAGGTACAGTCAAAAGCAGACAAACTGAGGATGTTGAGCAAACACTCAGTTGCAGACAAAAAGAGAAACTAACAAGAACAGGATTACCATTGAACTATAACTCCAACTGACCCAGGCTAATCCAGCATCATGCTAAGAGCGAGACAAAAGGTGGCAAGAATTTAAACAATCAGCATCATAACATTTGCAGAAGTTAAATACGGATACAAATTAAGGATGTATGGAAGAGTTAGACTTTCAAAATGACCTGAGAAAATTGCGATCCTGTCTGCATGATTGTAATAGTCGTCCATATTAACTTGTACTGTATTAAAATGTAGTGTGTAACTAACATAAATGTGATACTTCCACTTTAGGGTACATTATTTAGGAGCGGACTGATAGTTTCAAACTTTTTGTCGAGGTAATATTTGATGCAGCCCTGGTTTCTGCTGTGAACATGGCAATTTTAGCTTAAAACACCTAAAAGGCAACAAGTATATTGTATATTTTTATGCTTCATCTCTCTTTAATCATGACTGATATTCTTTCAAATGGTTGTAAGAAAATTATAAGGTCTATACTAAAGTAGTGGGATAAAAATGATAAAATAAAAATAATAAAAAACATTTATTTGTACGACTTTGATTCCTAATATAAAATGAAATTTTCATGGCAACTCTTGGGAGGACATGACTGAAGAACATACAGAAGACATTATTCCTGCCAATGAATTGTTCAGAGGGAGACATAAAAATCTTTCATCTTTTAATCTTAGTTACATTTCTGTAGGATTTTTTTTTTGCTGCTACTAACCACACCAAAACTTCCTGAGAAGTTGAAAAAAAAACCATCTCTACCATGTTGGCTATGTTGTAACCAGTCAAAGAGAACTGCGGTTTCACTTTTCATTTATCTCAACTGTCACACACGAACCTTAATAATACCTACAACACTATTTGCTGTTTCTTTGAGAAGAGTTGGGGTTATTATAAAGAAATGCAAAAAAAAAATAAAAAAATCACAAAATTTGCTATTTTAATAATTGCCTAATTTAGTCCTTTTTATTAAACCATAAAATATTTTTTGTTTCTGATCACTAATAATAGATATAATCCAGACCTTTTTGTGAATGTTTTAAGACAGAAAATTGTAAAATATCTGAATCTCAATCAACCACAAGGAACTGAGATTTTTAACCACAAATACTTGTTTTTCTATCACAAAATTACAAAACAAAAAACTCTTCTATTTCCTGGTCACCTGTTCCATCACTGTTCTGCTTTCAGACCCCCACTATATCATCCAACACATCACTTTAGGGACTTCCCACCAGTTCTTTTGACTCTGCAGTATGCCACTGATCCCAGTAAGAAATAACAAATCCCCTCCCACACTTTGCCACCCATTCACTTCAAATGTAACCCAAACAACTCCCACCCTCCTCTAATGTCCACCTTCAGTCCAAGGAGGACATTAACAGACCACACATCAGCTTGGGCCTCTTCAAACCTCAATCGTGGTACTTACGTCTCTAATATGCAGGAATAAAAGTTAATTAGAAGTATATAAATGAATAGAGATGGGGACAAACTAAAAGGGGTGTCTGTGACAGGGATTAGTGCACTCCCCATGCAGAGCCTCACAACTGATCTTATTGTCTGGCCTTCATTTTATCCTAATCCCGCCCTGTTTCCATCATTCTCCATCTTTGAAAAGAACAGGAAATGGAAGTGAGCCCCCTTTAGATGAGGGATGTGCATGTGTAATTAAATTCCAGCCCAGTATAACTCAACAGCCGTGTGGCCCTTTGCAAGCTGTTAGCTGTATAAACAGACTAAAAAAAAAAATCTCATACCAGTACTTATTTAAAGCAAGACATAAAATATATATATATATATATATATATTTGTGCCTTATACAACGCACTCTTCAGATAATTCAGGGACAACAAACTGTTTTTATTTTTTTATCTGCAAATTAATGTTTTATCAAATTTATATAGACAACTTAAATCTCTTATGCAAAAATCATACAGCGCAGAAGTAATAAATATTTATGTTTTAAACTGAGAAGCTGAAACTAGTAACTACTTGGAAATATTTATTTACTTAAAACATACTCTAAATCAACAAAATTAGTGTTAGTTGGTGTTCACTTCACATAACAGTTACCAACTGTTTCAGCTCCACAAAACATGATCACTGTTTACCCTTTAGCTCAATTAATTAGCATTAAGACCATTTAGCTATCTTCTAGCTCATCTAGGCTATAGTCTTCAGGTCATTCATTAAGCCATCAGGTCATTCAGCTAGCCTTTAGCTCATCTGGAAACTTTCAGCTGGTCTTCAGTTCATGCAGCTACCCTTCAGCTCATCTAGCGCAGATGATCCAAAGTAAACTGGTACTCATGGCCCACTGTCTTGCATGTTTTAGGTGTTTCGCTGCTTCAACACCCGTTTTAAATTCAATTACCGACTCATAATGACATCACGTTTAGCTCTTTTCAGTCAAATATGTTGAAGCAGATAAACATATAAAACATGCAAAAAAAGTGGGCCATGTGGTTCAGGATTGGGGACATTTTTTTTTATCTAGAAAACCTTCAGCTGACATTTAGCCCAAAATGAAGTCTTCAGCTCATCTAACTAGCCTTTAGCTAGCATTAGGTTCATCCATCTTGTAATGAGTCCCTGAGGCTCAATCAATGGGATTAACCTGTGTAAATAAAGGTTGAATCTTGCCATCAGCTCATCTAATTAGCTTTTAGCTCATTTAGCTAGCCTCTAGCTCATCTATCCAACTTTCAGCTTCAACTCATGTTTAACTTTCATCACTCAACATTAACATTATCTACATTTTCAATAATGACTATTGGTTTCAGCTCCCCTCCAAATACATGTTTGAATATAAAGGTATTTTAAAGTGATTCTGAAAAAACAAACAAAAACAAACACGACTTCTCAGATTAAATGACACGTTTGCAGCTTCCACTCACCAATTGTTGCAGTAGGAAACAGCAAACGTTCTCCGTTGGTAAATGCTCGTCTCTGAATAGTTTTTTGTTTTTTTTACAATGTCATAACGAGAAAAAACAAACAAACAACCAAAACACTTCTTCACGCACGTGACAGACAGAAAAAGGAGACATGGAAGCCGCATGTCCTCCTCTTTCACTGTACCGTGAACGTCTCACGGTGAGAATTAAAACATCAGTTCAGCTTCTTTACTCTGCTACGGCTCGTTTAGTGTCGTCGAGCTTTTGTCGTCATTTTTAATACGAGTGACGTTACTCCGCCAACCTATATGGATGGATTATATACAGATATATTTCACGCTGTGAAGTGATGGCGGTAAGCGACGAGTGAACCCATTTAATTTGCTCATTAGTTCTCAGCAACAAAGCGCCGTAAACAACGCAGCCGTTTGAGACCGAGCGGGCTATTGTTCCTCACCTGCGAGATACAGCACGGAGTACACATCCTGCCGAGGAAATTAAACGTATCCGCTTCAGAATAAGAGAACTAGGGCTTTTCTTTGTTGTTTCTGTGCCCCTCGATGAGCTTGTTGTGGGTCTCGCTCCGTCCGTCGTGCTCCCAGCCAGGCTGCCGTCTCCTCGGCTTCCTCTCTCTCTCTCCCCGGGTCTCTCCTCCCACCGCACGCCCCGGCAGCTTCCGTCAGAAAGGTAGTAAAGCTCCATGAGAACTTCTACAAACATCTTTGACTCTTTATAGGTTTTCTTTTAAACCTGCCATCTAAAAATACGACAAGTCTTGTACAAACTCAACGTTTAGAAACAAATTTCTGTTGTAAGTTACACCGGAAAGCCTTTTTCTTGAAGAATCCAAAACCCAGTTTGTGGCTCTTTTCTGAGAGTTTAAGTGGTTTTTAAATCCTTATTTGGGACATTACATGACAATGAGCTTTGAATCAGTTGCCATCAAGCGTTTAACACAAAATACAAATGTATCAGAGAATATGATATGATCCAGTCTTTGATTAAAGACACTGCCTCAGCTCAAATCTCCTCCATGGAGGCTACAGCTGCAGAAAGAAAAGCTTTGCAGAGAGTAGTGAAGGCTGCACAGAAGTCTGTTGGAGTCATCCTCCCCACCATCACAGACATCACCTGATGCAGGAAGAGCGCCACCTGCATCATGAAGGATCCCACTCACCCAGCGCACACACTTTTTGCTCCGCTCCCCTCAGGAAGGAGGTTAAGGAGCATTAAGTGTAGAACTACTAGACTGAGGAACAGCTTCTACCCTGAAGCTGTTAAGACTCATGAACAGGGGTCTGCAACCTTTACGATCAAAAGAGCGGTTTCTGCCCCTTTGTTCACTAAATTAAACGTGTCCAGAGCCACAATACCTGCTATAACTGGGATTCTCAACTGGTGACCCACAGATCACTTTAAGTTTGTTGGAGGGTGCTTTTCTGGACAGCAGGGGTGGTTTTATAAAACAAACAAAAAAATCTAATATTTTTTAACATTATTGATATTTTTACACAAAGACAAAATAAAAGACAAGATTCTTGTAAAGGAGGAAAAAAACTATCGTTTTTGCCCAGTTTCTAAAAACTAAAACAATAAACTGCATTATGTGATTTTTTTTTAATTGTAGAAAAATTACGTATACTACTTTGAATAAATAAAGCATAATGTGAAAGTATGTTTTACTCCTTGTAATGTTACTACTATTCATATATTTGCAAAAATAAGTTACAGGAAAACAGCTAAAACTAGCCCTTTACAGTTCTTGTTATAACAACCAATTAAATTCAGTTTTATGTCAGTTTCGGTTAAAGCTTGAAAGAGCCGCATGTGGCTCCAGAGCCGCAGGTTGCAGACCCCTGCTCATGAATATCTAACCAGGATAATCACTGAAAAAAATCACACCATGCTGCTGATCTGTTTCATGTTGCTGCTGATCTGTTTCATGTTGCTGTGTTCATTCGCGCTCATCTGCTCACACAGACTCATGTTCGTGCTGCTGTTCAGCGTAGTTTTTTATGCTACTTCTGCTTAGTGTATTTTTATTCCGTTTTTCTTAGTTCATATCTTAGATCTTACTACTGTTTTTCTTTTACATTTTAATACTTTTGTTGTATGTAACTGAGACCTTGTGTACAGTTTTGTTCCACCTCATGTACCACACGTGGTGCGTATAACAAAAAACCTTGAATCCTAAAGCAGCACAATGCTTAACATCACATCAGGACTCTGACAGGTAAGACAGTGTTTGATTCTCTTTTCCTAAGCCTCTTTACCAAAAAGAGCATCTGGAAAGTAAACTGTAATTACTGTATTCTGGGTGTTTTTCTGTGAGTTTGAAGCTGGCAGGAAAAACCAAAGTAATGGAACTTTGCCCAAACATCAGTAATGATTTTGTATACGTTTCTAAATATTACTTATTTCAAGAAATCACAGCTTCACACTGCCTGAAGTTACAACCGCAACACATTTCATTAAACAAGTTTACCATTTATTGGTATTACATAAAAATAATGATAATAATAATAAAAAAATACAATTTAATGACACAGTTCTGCCTTGATAGTGTGGTTCTTTTTGTCCAAATTCAAATAAATACAAAATAATCAAAGAGGCTCCTAGAGTTTAGGAGTCAATGAAGAAGAATCGTCGACTGCTTGATGGTCGGACATAGCTGCACACTCGATATCTGGCGCTAACCTCAGGCAGCAATCCCCAATTCTTGTCTACAACTTCAAATAAAGTCTTAACATGGACAACATCTGAGCCGGCCTCCTCTGGCTTTGGACCTTCTTCCATTTCAGTGGAGTTGATGAAGTGGTTGTCTTCTGATTTCCCAGTTCTCATTTGGTCAGAAAATAAGCTTCTTCTTCATTACAGCTGAAAATATACCAAGAAGAGTTGTCAGAAGCAATATGTTTAAGTACTACATTTAATATAGACATCAAAATACAATAAGTCTCATTAAAATCCCTCTAGTCTAGTACAGAACATAGTTAAACTCAAACATTTTCCAAACTACAGAGAGGCTGGAAAAAAGCTTTGAACCTCCCAGTAACAGCAAGGCTCTACTTTACTTCCCTCTACCCACTGAACTGTGCGTGCACGTTCTGGCAAAGTATACTCTGAATTTCTAACTCGAGCGTTGAGTGCAGCCAACACCCACTTAATTGCTAGGTTCAGCGTAGCGGTGTGCTTGATTTATAAGTTCAGTATACAAACCATGAGAACTGAAACAGTTTATAAAATATAGGTTCACAACGTGTTTATTGAAATTTGGTTATGACTGGGATTCCAGCCCCGTTTCCATTCTGTCTTAGTTGTGCTGAAGATGGTTCCTGTTATTTCTGCTCGATTTGAATGAATTACTCAGCATACTGTTGACTAGGGCAGCACGGTGGCTCAGCTGGTAGAGCGGTTGCCTCTCAGCGAGGTGGTCAACGCATCAAATCCCAGTCGTGAATCTTCCTGGGTGGTTTGCATGTTCTCTCCGTGCATGTGTGGGTTTTCTGCAGGTACTCCAGTTTCCTCCCACAGACCAAAAACACGCATGTTAGTCTGATTGGTAACTCTAAATTGTCCTTAGGCGTGAATGAGAGTGAATGGTTGTTTGTCTCGTTTGTCTCCATGTGTCCCTGTGCTGGACTGAAGACCTGTCCAGGGTGTCCCTCACCTCTCACACAGTGATTGCTGGATATGGGCACCAGTGACCCCCACGACCCAAAAAGGAAGAAGCGGGTAAAGATAATGGATGGATTGCTGACTTACATAAATATAGACACGCATGAGAAAATATGTCAGGTCTTTACTGAATAAAGGATAAATTTGGCTTATGGATGCAATATGAAAACACGAAGCATAAGTTTTTATTACTTGTCTCCAGGCCTTCTATTTTCCTCTTTAGTCCAACCATTTCCTTTTCCTTCAAAGCTTCAGCCGAGAAGTTTGGTTGGGGGAGTTGTGGACCAGGAGTAGGACCGGGTCGATTACTGAAGTACCTCATCTTTAGTGCCTGGGAAAACAAAAACACTGTCAACATGGCACCTGCTGCAGATAGAAACGCCTTCACTAAACCACATGGACACCAATTGTAAAGAATACTTTTTTCTAAGAAGGTTGAAGAATGTGAAGTAACTAAGACAAAACTGATGAGATTAACATTAGTGTTTTAATTCCTCCATTTTTTATGTTTAGATTCTTGTAGGTGGCAAAACTTCAGTCTTTTTGTGGCCAAAATGTTAGCAGTGGTTAGTTTGGCCCACTGGTCAAGAATCCTGACATAGAAAACATGAAATGTCCCTTTAAAATATGTACTTTTATGTATATTTAAAAATGAAAAAAATAAAATCAATAAAAATACTTTGTATTTAAAAAAAAAATCTGTACTTTTAGAAGTAAGGTCAAATAGTCAGTGAAATCTTCAAATTTTATGAAATCATGTTTAGATACTTCATTTTATGGAAAACATGTAGGACAATATGTACATGTAAGACATATCACTTGTAAAAAAAAGTCTAACTTTGTAAAAAAAAAAAAAAACTATAAACAAGCAAAAAAATGGATTTAAAATTATGGTTTTTCATAACAGTTAATTATGGAGGAAAATATATGAAAACATCTTGTCATTTCTATTTCTAAAACTCAAACCAACATAAATCCATGAACGTAAACTGAAAGTGTTTGAAAACAAGAAATATGATGCAAATTAATCAGGTCTCTTGTAAATGAGTCCCTGAGGCTCAATAGGATTAACCTGTCTAAATAAAGGTTGAATGAATATTGTAGAAAAACAAAAAATATTTGAAACAAAAATGTGAGAAACTGGATAAACTTTTTTAGATGCATATTAAAAAATTAATAAAAAGCCGAATGTGGTCAGCCACAAACAGTGAATGACTGGACGAAGGGGATATTCTACATAGACTAAAGTATTTGGCCACACTTGTTAACTGGTCAGTTCATGTGTTTCAGTCAGAGATTGGACTCGGCTCCTTATCTCTAGTGATGGAAAAACATACGGTTTCAGAATACCCATATTCTGGACAATGTTACACATTCAACTTTGTGGCAACAATTTGAGGAAGGTCATTTTCTATTTCAACGTGACTGTGCCCCAACACACGAAGGACTATAAAGACGTGCTCTGGTGACTGGCCTGCACAAAGCCTTGACCTCAACCTCATCAACCACCTTTGGGAACAACTGGAACACAGAATGCGAGCCAGACCATCTTATCCAACATCAACGACCATCCTCATAAATGCTATACTAAATGTATGGTAAATGGTAAACGGACTGTACTTGTATACCGGTAGAGCTTGTCTATCTTATCAAGATACTCAAAGTACTTTACACTATAATCTGTGCTCTCATGTACCCATTCATGCATCACTCTACTCTGCACAAAGACTAATCAGTGCTTTATCACATTCATACACCGATGGGACACACATCAGAGGCAATGAGGGGTTCAGTGTCTTGCCCAGGGACACTTCAACATGTGACTGCTGGTGGAATCGAACCCGCAACTCTTGCATTGGAGGACGACTGCTCTAACCACTCAGCCACAGCTGCCCCGAATGAACACAAATTCCCACAGATACACTCCAATGTCCTCTGGAAAGACTTCCAAGATTAGTGGAAGCTTTTATAGCTGCAAAGGGGGACCAACACTCTAGAGTCCCTGTTGGTGTCAAGTGTGGTCAAGAGTTTGTAATGAGCAAAGAGATGATGCTGCAAAACCAATGACACATTTAAAAGTGACTGAGTGAAGAAAAGTGCACATTTCCACAGTCACAGATGAGAAGGGGTTGTCAGGATGTCATGTAAAGGGCCACAGGAGCAGGCAGTCATGCCCTCTACAATAAACACACAAATGCACTTTGAACTTGCTTTCAACTTTGTTATTTTAACAAACTAAAACTAGTTTGCAATGTCTTAACTGGGTGTGTAAAAGCATTTATTTTAAAACTGCTGTGAACACAATAAAACTGTGACCTGAAGGATTTTGGTCTTCATCATTCAAATCACTTTCATAAAAACAACCAAAAAAACATGATACAAGTAGGACTGTCACGATAACTAATTTAGCTGGGCCTTTAATTGTCTCAGAAATTATTGTGATAAACGATAATATTGTTTGAAATTTAAGAATAATTAAGTGCCAAATTTTAGAAGAATGTTGATTTGTTTGGATTGTAGTACCTTTTTTGACCACCTGATGGTAGTATAAGACTGTTTGAACCAAAGGATGGATAGTTGAGCAGCATGTCTCTAAAGAAAAAATGGGAGGGAGGGCCCTTGACATGACATGGGCTGACATGGTGACATGGCGGACACTCGGGTGATTTGAGCTCTGTAGCAGAATTTTTCACGCAAAGCTTTTAATTAAAAAAGCAGTATAGTCGTCTTTTTGCAGATAAAAACAACTTTTTACACGAAGGCATGGGTTTCAACCATGAATTCTGCAGCTCGACAAAACAGAGATTTATTCCCAAAGTCGGCCTGTTAGCTTAGCTCGTAGCTTAGCTTCTCAGCTTCGCTGCTTATGACAATCCAAAAATGTGATTTTGGACAGTTAAAACTGATTTTAAAGAGAAAGGGAGGGGTCAGTGAAGAGCACCGGAGTTGAGCCGTGTCTTCAGTAGAAAGAACTCCAAGAAATGATAAAGCCGATAAATGAAAAAGAGGTTGATCCGAATGCTTAAAAGGAACTTAAGAAGAAAAAAAGGCTCTGTAAATAAATACAAACAGGTGATACGTTTACAAAATAGAAAAAAAATTGCAGCTAAAACCAAAAAGAAAAAAACACTCAAAACACAAACTTTAAAGTAAACAAAGCATTGTATTGTCCTGAGGATTTTAGTTGCAGACTCAGGTTTTAAATACATTTCTCTTGATAAAATTAACAAACTAAAAACATTAACAGCTGTGTTGCTTTAGCGCATCATTTACCTGTGTGGCTGTTGTCCTCGTCAAGGGACTGAAAGTAAAGAGGCCCTGCAGCAGTTCAAGTAAATCGTCACCGGCTGCACTAAATATGTGTTCCAGAGGTGTGCCAGGAAATATTTTAAAAGACACATAGTCAGGTAGACTAGTCATTCCCTGCAAATATATTAATATTTATATTAATCCTCACATCTCAATGAAATAAAGACAACTTTACCAGATAAAACAGATACCAACCGGCCAAGACTCTTCTGTGGGTGTTCCCAAAGCCTCAAAGATTTTGGTCAGCTGATCGAGATCAGAGTCTCCAGCAAGGAATGGCATCTACAACGAAAGAAACATTTAGAATGGAAACTTTAAATAAGAGCATCATATAACTGTAGGAGGTGGTGGAGGAGTAGCAATATACATCAGATCTGGCTTGGTAACACAACTAGTATTTACAAAATCAGCACCTAAATAATTTGAAATCTTGGCAGTAAACAATGAACGGTCTGTTGGTCAATCGTTATCTGTTGTTGGCTGCTATAGACCCCTTACCGTCACATCTGAAAGCCTGTTTTTAATGCAGCTCTTATTTAATTTACATCCCAATGAAATGGTTCTGGTAGGTGATTTCAATTTAGATTGGCTAATCATGTGTCTGAGGAATTTAAATAATTTTGTTTATCTTCAAACCTCAGTCAGATCAGCTTTGGGCAACAGCAAGACACCCATTGGTTGCAATTTCGTCAGTTACGAAATCGCTGTACGGCTTCCATTAAAGCGGCAAAACGAAACTACTATTTATCTCAGACTACCAAGAATCTAAACGATCCTAAGAGCTTCAGGAAAACTATTAAAGCTCTTGATGGCAGCACTCACTCATCTGACCTGCCGCCACAATTAATTATTGACTCTGCTCCTGTGTCAGATAAGCATGAAATGCCAAATTGTTCCAACAAACATTTTGTTGTCTCCAGTTCCTCGTTTGATAGTTTTTAATGGTAAATCACCTACTCCACCAACAAGTCAAACCTCAGTATATTCTCTTTTTCACTGTTATGTCAGGGAGGTTACCCAACTGTTCAAATATCTTGATACTAGAAAATCTGAAGGCCCTGATGACCTCCCTCCTTACTTCTTAAGTCTAGCTGCACAAATTATAGCAGAACCCATGTCTTACATTTTCAATCTGTCTATACATCATAATACTGTCCCAGATGCTTAGAAAACAGCTTTTGGTCATTATTGAAGGGAGGAGACCCCACTATTCTGAACAATTATCGACCAATCTCCAAACTCTATTTTACCCAAAGTTTTAGAAAAACTGGTAAATACTCAAGTCAAGAAGTATCTGGACTCAATATTTTATCTTCCGTCCAATCTGGCTTCAGGAAACAACACGGCACAAAGACTGCTTCACTCAAGGTTTTTAATGATGATGTTGAAGCTTTGGACGCTCAAGATTACTGTGCTGCACTTTACTTAGACCTGTCTAAAGCTTTTGATACTGTGGATCATGACATCTTATGCCATAAACTCTCAGATATTGGCTTCTCAGATAACACCGTTAGCTGGTTCTCAAACTATCTCTCAGGTCGGACTGAGGCAATGTGTTCGACATAACGGTACTTGATCTAGCTACCTAACAGTCACCAATGGTGTGCCACAAGGCTCAGTTTCAGGTCCCACTCTTTTTTACAATTTATTTAAATAATGTAGGTCAAAACATTTCTGACACATCCTTGCATTTCTATGCTGATGACACTGTTGTTTACTGCTGAGCTAACACAGTTGCCAAGGTTTTCCAGCTTCTGCAGTCTGCATTTGACACCATTCAGTCAGACGTATTCTACTTCAAGCTGGTACTAAATGCTGACAAAACCAAATGGATGTTGTTCTCCAACAGAAAGTTGGTGCCAGCAACTCTTCTTCCCAACTCATTCATGCATGGTGTTCCTGTTGAGTTTGTAGATTCTTACAAATACTTGAGAATTTTGGTCGAACAGCTCTCTTTTACACCACATATCAAAAACTTGATAAAGAAACTGAAATTAAAACTGGGTTTCTTTTTCAGAAATAGATCTTGCTCAACTCTGAATGTCAGAAAACGCCTTGTAACCGCTACTTTCCCACCAGCCATTGACTACGGTGACATTATTTACATGAATGCCCCAGCCAGCTCCTTGCAGATGTTGGATGCTGTCTACCATAGTGCGCTAAAATTCATAACTGGATGTAACTACCATACCCATCACTGCACCCTTTACTCCTTGGTCAGTTGGTCATCATCTACACGTAGGCTCTCACACTGGTTCACTTTTATCTATAAATCCCTCCTTGGTCTGCTACCTTCTTATATCTCCTCCCACATGTCTTGCTGTCAGTGCAGTTACAACATGCACTCTCAGTCCATCATTACCTGCAGTGTTCCCTCAGTGCAGACTGAACTTGGCAAAAAGGCCTTTTCCTACTCTGCTCCTGTAACACCTTGCAACAGGAACTGAAATTGTCCACCTTGATTTCTTTAAGGGGTTTCAAACATTTGATAATGTCAATGGAAAAATCAAATCAAATATGTTTTTGTTTTTAGTATTTCACCCTGTTTTACAGCACCCTGATTTATTGTTTATACACTATTATTTTAACTGCATCTTTACTGTAGTTTATTGTTATTGTTTACTGTTATTGTTGTTTGTTCTTTATATGTTGTCTGGAACAGGTTCCTCTTGCAAATTAGTCCTTGTGGATCAATGAGACTAGCCTGTATAAATAAAGTTTGAATGAAAAGAAAAAGAAACTGTGAGAAATTATGTTTGAAGTGAGGCTTATGTACCCGAAGTAACAACTCGGCCAAGATACAGCCCACAGCCCACATGTCAACACCCACATTGTACATTCTGGCACCAAACAGGAGCTCAGGAGAGCGGTACCACCTATAAAAGACATCAATAAACAAGCAGAGCGTTAAAAATGATAACCCTCCTGTTTAGGAGGTAATTATTGGACTTTGGAGAGGAGTTAGGGTAAAAAAGCAGTTCTGTAAAACTGAATCAAAGCTGCCCCGACCTTGTGACAACTTGATGTGTGTAGACTCTGTTGGGGCTGCCAAAAGCTTTGGCCAAACCAAAATCAGCCAACTTCAACACACCGTTCCCATCCAACAGCAGATTATTGGGCTTCAGATCCTAGATATAAAAACACAGTAATTACCCATTATGAATATTGTTTGTCCATATGTAGCATATGAGTGGTGTCTAGGTGCTTTTACCCTGTGTAGGACCCAGTGTTGGTGCATATACTCTAATCCTTGTAGAGTCATGAGGATGTACGCTTTAATGTTGGCTGGAGTCAAGACTAGGCTGGTGTCTTTGATGATAACCTTTAAAAAAAAAAGTTTTAAAGTCAGAGTAAAAACTGTGCATTAATTAAAAACAAATTTCATTCTGAGCAGAAAGGAGAACTATAATGGAGAATAATTATAATAGGAATATAATTCTAAGCTTTTATTTTAGAATAACATGGACAGTTTCTCAGTTTATTGTTGTTAAGTTTTGTTTTTAACTAAACAATAAAACCTTTACACCTGCTCTGAAAACACTTATAGTTTTCTTGTATTTTTATTCACAATGAAATTAAAACAGCATCTGCAGCTCAAAACAGGCTTTCAGTCTTAGTGAAAAATATGAGCCTCATATTTCACCCTCATGTCTCTTCTGACTACAGCCTGATAACGACTAATGGCATAAACACATTCTGAGAGCCAAGGCGAGAGTGATATTGATTATTTAAAAAGCACGTTTGTCTTGTTCATTGCTCTGTTAAAGTCCAATATATTAGTGTTGTGTGTCCATCTGGAGTCTTGCAAAAAGAAGTGGGGGGAAAAAATAAGAATTGAAGTGTAAAAATATAAAAGCCCTGATTCATGTCTGCTTGTTTGTCATCTTGCTTGCTGAACTAGTATTTCATCTGATGTCTTTTTTCCCTCTTTCCTTTAAACATCAACCTGCAAATAAATCAATAGAGCTAAACGCGAGTAAAGTAAACACTATTAAAAATAGTAAATACTTTCTAAAAAGCAAAAACTTCCACTTATTAACAATGATGAATTTCAGTAATGAATTTCTGGTGGCCCACATGTGACATATAACATTAGGCATTTTTCACAAAGCTTGTGAATGACCTAATTACTAAAGGGAAACATATGTACATGTACAGATGACTGATACTCAGCTGTATCATACGACTCAGTCTAGCACCCCCCCCCCCACCACCACCATATTTTTAATCATTACCTTACATATGTGATACAAGAATTATGTACATCATATGTGTTTTCTTATTTTCTTATTGTCCAGGTGTTTTCCTACAGAATTGAACTTTGTAAGTCTATGCTAACAAGAAGAATAACACCAAGTCACAGTATTATCCGTTATGTTTCTTGTAGTTTCAACTAATTATACACACACACACAATATATACACACACACACATATATATATATATATACACACATATATATATACATATATATACACACATATACACATATATATATATACACACATACATATATACATATA